CGCTGCCGTGGCGTGCGGCAGAGGTCAGTTGCGAACCCCAGGCCTGCCAGCATGCTGGCAAGTGACGTCGGGACGACGGGTATTGGACCAGCAGCCATGCGCGCAGGACAGCAGGCAGGCAAGCGATCTCAGCTTCTGCACGCGGGCAAGCTGTCGTGTACGTAAGCCCACGGGTGAGCTCCAGTTGATATATTTCAAAGCCAGGCGCAGCGCGTGCAGGAGAGTCGGGCGTCCAAGTACATAGAAATCAGCCCGGCCAGCCTTGGCGCGCTCCTAGGCCCCCCGGCGCGTTCCAAGACGGCCCAAGAGGGCCCCAAGTAATTCAACGATGATGCAAGAGTGCCGCTTTACCCCCCAAGATGGCTCCAAGATGACCCCAGAGAGCTTCAACAAAGCTTCAGGACGCCCATGGCGGCCCAAAATGGCCCCAGAGGCTCCAAATACGCCACCAGAAACCTCCAAGGAGACCCCTGAGAGGGCTTGCGGGAGCAAAAGTTATCCTGTCGAAGGACCCAACCATATGCGGTTGCGAGTACCGTCGCTGTGGGTACCGCCTTCGGTGGAGCTCCCAACGGGGCCACGAAGCGTGTGAGGGTTGTGCCGAAATGGGCGGGGCGGCCGCATGTGGTACACCCCCGTGGGCCCTTCCGTGGAGCTCTCCTTATGCGACCATGGAACGTGTGAGGGGTGTGCCGAAACGGGTGGGGCGGCAACCTGTGGACACCGCCGTTGCTCCCATTGGGCCACGAAAGGTGTGAGGGGGGTGCCGAAATCTCCGTGATGCCAACATGCGCACGCTCCCTCTGTGGCCTTGGGAGGAGCTACCTATGGGTTCACGAAGCGCGTGAAGATGTGCCGAAACGGGTGCGGGGCACACATGCGAACGTTCCCTCTGGGGCCTTCGGAGGAGCTTCCCATGGGTTCACGAAGCGCGCGAGGGGCATGTCGAAACGGGCATGGCGCCCACATGCGAACGCTCCCCCCGGGGCCTTCAGAGGAGCTATGGAGTCCTGAAACGCCTCAAATGGTTGACATGCTGAGGGCTGAGGCAGGGAAGGGAGGAGGGAGGAGGAAGAGAGGAGAAGAGGAGGAGAGGAGAGGACGCGGGGCGGTATTTCAAAACGAGGACCCGACACCACAGGACGGTGGGGAACAATGGATGATTGTTTTTGGTTTTTACGCGATTGTCGCATGCCCGCTTTCCGGCCTCGGAACGCCCATGACGGCCCAAAAAGCTTCCGAGGTCGGCGCAAGGCGGTCCGAGGACGGTCCAGCAGGGTACCAAGACGGCCCAACAGGGCTCCAAGACGAACCAAGAGGCTGCCAAGATGGCCTCTGCACAGGCCCAAGGCAGCCAAGCTCTGAACGGCCCCCAGGAACCCTCAGAACGTCACCGGGCCACCCAAAACAGCTCCCACTGGCCGCAGGGGCCGCTCAGATGGCTCCAGGGTGCTTGGGAGGACCCCATGGGAGCTGAAGAATCCAGAGAGAAGGCCCCAAGAAAACCCCAAGAGACACCCAAGAGGCCCCCGAGAGACGTCCCGAGAGGCGTCCCCTCGCGAGACCCCGAGAGAGACCCCCCCGAGTCCCTCCCTCCTCGCTCCTCCTCGCCCCTCCCTCCTCGGCCGTCGCTCCTCCGCCTCACTCTCCGCTGATAGCTCCTCGCTTCTCCCCCTTGCCTCCTGGATCTTCTCGATTCTGACTCCCCCTCCTCCTCCTCCTCCTCCCCCTCCTCCTCCTCCTCCTCCTCCTCCTCCTCCTCCTCCTCGGTCCCCTCCTGGCCGCCGGTTGCGCAAGCAAACTGAACTCGCGAGAAACAGCACCCTGCAGCATCAGCCAGCAGCAGCGCAGCAAGCGGCAGCAGCACGAGACCTGCAGCAGCAGCGGCAGCACGCAGCAACGGCAAGCAGCAGCAGGCAGCGGGCAGCAGCACCCACCAAGCAGCACTGGTCATCAGCAGCCCCCTGCAAGCATTACCCACAGTACGCAGCAGCGGCAGCAAGCAGCAGCACGCAGTAGCAGTCGCGGAGTGCGAAGCTTGATTCCCACGTCATCATTTTAGCGTCTCGGTAGCATGTCCACAATCACATGCCAGTACGTAGTCCACGGGTCAGTCCCACTTAGTCAGTTCCAACGTTGGCATTAGCGCGTGCGTGAAAAGCGAGCAATGGCAGTGGGCCTTGTCGCTGCGCGGCGACATGTGAGAGGCGAAGTTGGAGCCCAACGTCACCAGCTATAACTTTGTGACCAGCGCATGCAAAACAGCTGGACGGTGGCAGCGGGCTCAGGCATTTCGCAGCGACATGTGAGATGCGAGTTCTTTCCATCCCGACGTTGCAGGGCAGCGAACAGTAGTGCGCGGGTCAGCGCTAATCAACTACAACGTTGGGATCAGCGCGTGCGAAAGGCGAGCAGTGGCAGTGCGCATTGTCATAATTTGTGGAGACGTAGTGGGCACGAGTACAGCCCGACGTGATCCATGCGAGAAAGTCGGGCAGTGGCAAATGTCGCTGCGCATGTTCAAGGACACGCGTCTGCAAAAGTTGTGTTCCCACTTCACTGTCTACGGAATCATGGCCAGCATGTGCGAAACATGGGTCATGGAAGCACGGGCTGCCGTTTTTCAGGGAGGCGTGTGGTTTACCTCCAGCGAAGTGAAGCAATCAAGTGAAACATTGGGGCTAGCGCGTGCGAGAAACCCTTCAGAGCTGACCAGCTCGTGGGAGAGACTCTGGCAGAGGCAGCTGACGCTGTCACTGCTCAGCAATGTGCGGGAGACGAATTCGGAAGCCGCTGATGGCAGGCTACAGTATTGGCATCACCGCGTGCAAGAGGAGCATATCAGCACGATGTGGGAGGCGGAACTGTAGCCCAGCTACAGGAGTGCAGTTGCTGCCAGGGGAGGGTACAGGAGACGTATACGTGTACGTATGTATCTATGTGCATTGGAATGGGAAGATATATTCGTATGTGCACTTGCGTGATTTTGTAGTGCACATCATCATGTATGCCCCCATAATCAGCTACAGCACAACAATTACAACAACTATCAGCAGTGGCAGCGCGCGCTATGCCTACGCAGCGAGCTAGGGACGAAGGGGGACGCCGACATTCCAACTTCCACTCGCTTAACTTGGAATTGCATGATACCGACCAAGAAGCTGGCAATCCAGGTGTGGAGGACGTGCAATCGATACATATATATATATGACATAGCTCGATCTATCGGGCAGGCGCGCAACCGTGTGTGTGTGTGTGTGTGTGTGTGTGTGTGTGTGTGTGTGTGTGTGTGTGTGTGTGTGTGTGTGTGTGTGTGTGTGTGTGTGTGTGTGTGTGTGTGTGTGTGTGTGTGTGTGTGTGTGTGTGTGTGCGTGCGTGTGTGCCACAAGGGGCTTCGTGTCCTCAATCGTCGCAGCGGCGTGAAGCTCACTGTGGTACTACGTCTGGTCGACGTGGCAAGGAAGTTACTCATCCGAGATAGTTGTCTCGCAGCAGTGGATCCGTGAACAATCCCCAAGCACTAAATGCACATAGAAAGAGAGAGAGAGAGGGAGAGAAAGGGAAACACAAAAAAACACGAGAAACCGTAGCGGGCGTTTACACTTTGTGCCACCATGTTTTGTTCACCGATGTCGCAACTCACCATGACCCACTGTGACAGGTGGGAATTGAAGCTTCGCGTCGATGGCGGCTCTACTGACCCTACGAAGCGAAAACAAGGGGGGCGGTCTTGTCGCCATCTTGGACCTTGGACCCATATCGGGTCATCTTGGACGCTCCGACCCTTCGCCGACACTGGTCCAGACTTCCTGGTAGGCGGCGGGGGGAGGAGCACATCTTTGCACGAAGAGGAACAACCGAATGTGTTGGAAGAGTTGGTCCGTGAAATGTTGAACTATCTACGCGTATTGGCAAACATACTATTCCGAAACGAAATTGCGCATCTTTGGGCATTTTGTGGGTCGGTCCAGCGGATGCTCCAAACTCAAATTCTTATTGAAAGTCGGTGTATGGCCCCAGGGGCTGAAGGGGTCAAAGGCGAGAAGGGGCAGGAGACGCAAGACGACGTACACATTCATGATTTTCCCCGTGGTTGAAGTACAGGATGCCCAGGTGGGATGGACATGTACATTTCTCAACGCTTGGATTCGCGCTCGCATCTGCGAGAGGGGCTGGCCTCGCATAGAGTGCGTTGAGGAGAGGAAGGTCCGGAAGTGCTCTCGCGAGGTGCGAGTGCAGATCCTTTCATTAGTTATTCAGAGCCTTGGTGAGCTTCCTCGTCGCTGTCTTGAGCTCAGCTGCCGGGGATGCCAGCCCCTAGGCCGCGGAGGAAGCCAGCGCGCCAGATATGTGTGGTCGAAGCCAAACTCAGCACGGAAATCTCGGCCTGCTGCACACTGCCATCTCCACGATGTTGCTGGTGATCCTCGCACCGAAGTCAGCTTCGCCGTCGGAGTGTCCGTCGGATGCCATGATTGGCTTCGGATGGCCGCACGGCCGCCCAGAGACGGGCCTCGGACTCCCCCCACGAGAGGACGCCGCCCAAGACGGACACGCATTTACAGCATTGGTCTCCGAGGCTTCCAAGTGGTCTTCCACGAGCCCGGAAGCCAACACACACACACACACACTGCTTCCATAGTTAGAATTCACCTCCGGCCCCCGGCTAGATCATGTCGACGATTGTCGAGAGCAAGAGAGTGCGGATTTGTTTTTTCCAGAACGCAAGTCGCGCACTCGTAGATGACGACGGTGTGCGACGAGGTGTTTTGCATCAAGAAGCCAAGAGCCCAGGCCTCCGTCCGCAAGACCGAAATGCGACCACAGTTCCTCGCGCATGGCCTCGGTTCCTCTTATTGTTCCTCCTGGCACTGGTCATTCTTCTTCTCATCATCCTTCTCACATTGTTCTGGAATGAGGCCCCAGGCACTTTGACGCGGGATACACAGGGGGCGAGGGGTGTCTGGTCGTCGTCACTGCGTGCGCGCATGCCCTGGCAGGCGGCGTGACGCAGACCAGCTTCTCGGGGCAGAACGACCAGATGTCGTCCACGAACCCTCACAGCTGGGGGGCCGCCAAGGACCTCGCCGGCACGCTCTTGTGCAGCTGAGCCAAGGGCTCCCCCGAGGGCGCGAAGTTATTCGCGCTTCGCGGTCCTCGTTTCTCCTCCCCCTCCTCCTCGTCCTCCTTTTGTCCCTTTGGGGGGGCGGCGCGAGAGCGCGAAGTTATTCGCGCTTCGCGGAGCGCGAAGCGCGAAGTTGGGAGCCCTAGCTGAGCGCGGCAAGCGGGCGTCGCAGCCGCGCGAGATTCTGCGAGGATTGGGAGTCAGCATCTGGGTTGGTCGCGGCGAACGCACGTGTGCTTGAGTCCCCAGATCCCTTGTCCAAGGGCTCCCTCGAGGGCGCGAAGTTATTCGCGCTTCGCGGTCCTCGTTCCTTCTCCTCCTCCTCCTCGTCCTCCTATTCTCCCTTTGGGAGGGCGGCGCGAGAGCGCGAAGTTACTCGCGCTTCGCGCTTCGCGCAGCGCGAAGCGCGAAGTTGGGAGCCCTAGCTTGTCAAATTGTCGCAGCTCTTCCATACGTCATTCATCCAAGCGGGCCAAATCCAAATCCATGTCACCAGTCGCCCAGTGTCATGTTTTAGCTTATGATTGCTCTCGAGAAACTGTATGTGTCAAGTCTGTTCACCCTCCTCCACCCCCTCCTCATCCCTCGAAGGTGCCTCTGAGGAGGCCTCGCGGGGGCGAAGTCCCCAGAGACTTGCTCCCCCCCTCCTCCCTATCTTTCTCATTCCTCCCCCCTCGTCTTCATCTTCCTAATTCCTCCTCCGCTCCTCCTCCTCCGCCCCACTCCTCATCCCCCATCCTTCTCCTCGCTCCCCCCCTCTCCCCCTCCCCAGTCCCAGAAACCCCGACGTTCGAACCTCGACCTTGCCCCCCTCCCCGCGCGCGCAAAGCTAGAACCTCGCCCCCCCTCCCCCCTCCATCCTCGAAGCTTGGCCCCCCCTCGAAGCTCGATCGACCCCCCCTCCTCGAACCTCGAAGCTACAGGGCCCCCCTCCTCCCCCCTCGCTCCCTCCCACCCCCCGCCTTCCGTCCCCGAGCATCCAGCGTCCCGTTTTGTGCGAGACACAGAGCCCCGACCCCTCGACTATACTTCCCCGGGACCGGTCTTTCGCCCCGAGGCGTTTTTGCTGACGGCCCCGAGGCCCCGCGAGGGGCCCCCCCGCCGCAGCCGAAACGACGAGCAAGAGAGCCGCCTCGGCTTTTCCGAGGCGCTGGACGTCTGCGCCGCCCACCTCCTGGCTCCGTGCGCCTCGCCCCGAGCGCGCCCGGCCGCAGGACGCCGACCACGCCAGAGGGGCGGCCCGCTCAGATCAGAGGGGGAGGCGTCGGCACGAGCACCAAGGAGCGCCGATCTCCTCGAAGGTATGGGGAACGGACGGGAGGTGGAGGGGGAGGGGACACTCCACAGGACATGTGTCACCGTATGGTGGATCCCGACAGTTGTGTTGACTCACTGCGGAGGCGTTGCGGCCGGTGCCGCCGACCCTGAAGGCGGGACCTCCCCCGGCCAGGACTCCCGATGGCGATCCACCCCGGGACCCGCCGGGACCCCCGGGGGCGGCATTCGGACCGGTCCCCCCCCCCGCAGGGAAGGTATACAGGGAAGGGGCTCCCCTCCTTCCAAATACGACGTTTCTCTCCCCTGTTCCTCAGTTTCTTTGGAACTGACGACGACGACAGCCTCCTCCACACGTCGAAGGGTCCGCGGATTTGTGTTTCCCTGGGAGGCGCGGAACTGCGAGCGCAAGCGGTGTGCCCGGCAACGGGGTTCCAAGCACATTGTTGCGACCAGCTCCGCCACTACGGCACAAGGCAAGCGGGTAGGTCATGTCCAAAGTAACCATTACACGCATTCTTTGACGGCGCGCACACGGGGGGTAGGGGGAGGGGGAAAGGCTTCTTCGAAGGAGGCTGCTTCTTAGCGAAGGCCCCAGCCCTACATCTAAAGAGCAGGCCCGCGCCTTCTAAGAAGCAGGGTGCTTCTCAGAAGCCTCACGGCGCCAACCTCGCAGAGCGGAATTCGTTCGGAAAACGATAGGATGGGCCCGAGTGTCCTGGAGAATTTCGTTCCGGATTTCGAGGTGAATTTCGTGAGGATTTATTAGGCCAGGAATGAAGATTAAACAAAAGTCCGCGCGAAATTCACTTCGTTTTTATTCGTCGTTTCGTGGACCTGCATTGACAGAAATCCACGCAGAATCCGTTGCAGCACGTCTGCAAGGTCGGTGCAATGAAGAAGCCTCCTCCAATCACCATAACCGCTAAAGGTCTTTAGTTGTGGTCCCCCCCCTCTCTCGGCGTTGAATAGGACTGGTCCTAAAACCTCCTCCTCCTCCTCCTCCTCCTCCTCCTCCTCGTGCCTCCTTGTCCTCCGGGGCACGCTCGACCTCCTCCTGCTCCTCCTCCTCCTCCTCCCTCCTCCTCCTCCTCCTCCTTCTCCTCCTCCTCCTCCTCCTCGTCCTCCTCCTCCTCCTCCTCCTCCTCCTCCTCCTCCTCCTCCTCCCCCTCCTTCTCATCCTCCTTCTCTCTCATCTTCCTCAGTAGCCCGTAGCCACTTAAGCTCAAGCTGGCTCTGTGCATTCTGCCCGGTATCGTATCTTCCTTCATACAGTGCAGACGCATCCGGGCATGGCGACGGTCGATGTTTTGCTATTCCGTGCCAAGTTCGGTGTGCGCCCATCCGAGTGCAGCACACGTCTTGGCGCCGGCGCTTGGCGCGGCCGTGGGCGGCGCCCCCGCCAGGTCGTTGCGGCGATGGTGGCGGCCGCACGTACCTCCTTCGACGGCTCCCCCGATGCCGTCCGCGAGGAGGGCAAGGCCAGGCTGGCCATGGTGGAGCCAGCCCTCATTGAGCTGCTCAAGGCAAGCCCTTTCGGAGACCCAGCCCTCAATGGTGACATGAAGGCCATGCGCAATACGGGCCTGCACGTGGACATGGACTGCAGCGCGGACTGCCTCCCGCAGAATGGCAAGGAGGCCAAGCGGAGGCAGCGCAGCGGCCGCAAGTCCAAGGAGAAGGCCACCCTGAGGCTGACGGAGGAGAACTGCGAGTGCGAGGAGGGGCACTCCAGCGAGTCGTGTAATACCTCCGTGGCCAACCCGCAGGGCATCCTGCAGTTGGGCGCCGAGGGCGCAGAGCAGAAGCAGGTCGAGGGCAAGGCAGTCGAGGACGCCTGCCTGGAACTCGAGGGCATCGGCGTCTCCGCGAAGACCCTGTTGCGGGAGGTGCCCGAGGAGGCCGACGCGCAGGCCCAGCATGGCAAGACCTCGCAAGGGAAGCAAGGACATGGCCGAGGAGAGCGGCTCGTTGCAGCTGGCGGTGGTCCCCCGACTGCATGGTCGACGACGGGGCCGAGGACATCTCTTCGGCATCGCAGCAGCCGGTGGCGGCCCGCGGCCAGCTCAACGAGTTGGTGCTCCAGGGCGCTCGGCAGCCCGAGCACGTGCTCCTCGAGGCGGTCCTCCTGGAGCGGCTGCGGCAGCAGTCTGCGGTTCAGTTCTCGGCTGGACCAGGCGGTGGGGGGCCGCTATTCCTCTAGCATCGGCGGTTTCGGAATCTCGTCGGTGCGCGAGTTCGTGTAGCTCGCGCGAGGGATGCTGAGGCTGCGTGGATTCGAGCTCGGGGTGCGGAGGCTCGTGTTCCTCCTGCACCTAGCCTGCTTGCTGCTCGGCGTCGCGGAGACTCGCGTTCCTCCTGCGGCCGTGGCTCCAGGCGAATTCGCTCGGGATGGGGAGGTTCGTGCTCCTCCAGCACTGCCAGGGGCTCGCGTGGACGGGACAGGGTCCCGATTGGTCACTCCTGGTCGCTCCTCCCTCCTCCTCCTCTCCCGCCCTCCTCATCTTCCTCCCTCCTCCTCCTCCTCCTCCTCCTCCTCCCCCTCCTCCTCCTCCCCCTCCTCCTTGCTCTCCTTCTCCTCCTCCTCCTCCTCCTCCTCCTCCTCCTCCTCCTCATCATCATCATCATCATCATCATCCTTTTTGCGCGGCGAGTGCTGCGGGAAAAATGAATTTGTTACCCCCTATTGATGGGGCCGCCGTCGACAAATAATTCACTACTCCCTGGTGGTGGGGAGTTCTACACACCTCTCAGGGCAATCGCGCCTTGGGACTGCTCCGGGTACCCCGGCCGCAAGGAAGTTGTTGGGCCTTTTGGCGCGGATCTTGCGCGCGGGCCTTCGGCCTCGGGGAGTTGCCGGGGCAGCGGGGGCCCAGGGCCATCGGCGGGGTGGAGGTGGCCTGGCCCAAAGAAATGGAGGAGGCGGAAACGGAAAGGGAGGAGGAGGATGCGGAGGAGGAGGGGGGATTTGGAAGAGGAGGAGGAGGAAAGGCGGAGGATGATGAGGAGGAGGAGGAGGAGCAGCAGGAGGAGGAGGCTTCTTGCACAGTGCGTTTGAGATTCTCGTCCCCTCGCTGGCGCGGCGCATGTTTCGTTAGCCGAATCGAATAGTACCGGCAGCTACAGCGGGGCCGCGCGAGTGCGTGCGAAATGTTGTCCTTGCCCAAGTGCCGCGCAGGTTGTGTGTGGAAAGTGCAGTGCTGCTCCGGCGCGGGGCATGTTTCGTCTTCTCTGTGTTCATTGGGAGTTCTGCCGCTCCAAATCCTTGCGAGACCCGCGCGCGAGCGCCTTCCGCGACCCGCGCGCGAGCGCCTTCGGATCGCTAGGTGAAAACGCGTTCCAACCCCAGTAGCAAGTTGTGCCACAAGTGATTCTCTTGTCAAGGGCTCCCACGAGGGCGCGAAGTTATTCGCGCTTCGCGGTCCTCGTTCCTTCTCCCCTTCCTCCTCGTCCTCCTTTTCTCCCTTTGGGGGGGGCGGCGCGAGAGCGCGAAGTTATTCGCGCCTCGCGCTTCGCGGAGCGCGAAGCGCGAAGTTGGGAGCCCTTGGCACGACTGCTCCTAGTTTCGGGGGAGCGTAAGACCCGGGTTTGCCAGGACTCGGGTTCGCCATCGTTTTTTGACGACCGCGACTCGGATTTTGACGAGGAGGAGTTTCGTGGGATGTCTGCAGCGGGAGGCCTCGTCAAAATGCAGGCTCGGCCTCGTCATTTTTTTGACGACCTCGTCGGGGATTTCCGAGTCCCCCGTACCCGGGTCTTACGTCTCCCCGATAGTTGAATGAGGACAGAAAGAGGATTCGACAGAGGCGTCTTGGATGGTTGTCTGGTTGGCATTCGAGAGGGGGAATGGGCAAGGAACGGGAAGGAGCAAAAGGAGGAGGCGGCAGGAGGAAGAGACAAAGGAAGGGGGAAGTCAGTGAGACGCGCATGGGGGAGGGAAGGGAGGACAGCGGGAGGTGAGGAAAAGGAGGAAGAGGAGGGAGGGAAACGGGCGCGAGGAGAGGGACGCGAGGAGAAAGAGGGTTGAGCCAGAGTACGTTCCCGTCTCGCGAGGGGTTTTGCTGGGCGGTTATAGTGTTGCCTGGGCTGGCGTCGCCTCTATCGTTCATTCCCGTATCGTTGTGCACATTGTTTTGTTCTTTTCTGTCTTCTCGCAATCATGCTGACCGATGATTCCCTGGTCTGTGCATTCACCTTCGTGGCGCTCCAAGGTCAGTTCTGGTTCTGGAGGGCCCTCGATTACCGAGAAGATGAATTCCACTTGGGCGGCGCCCAACCACAACCACCAATCGCGGAGGTGCCATGCCCGCATTGAAGTGGGAGAAGGAGCATCTGTACATACATGATATATGTACTCCAGATTTCGCCATCTGACCCCATCCCAAATCAGACCACCCCTCTTTTATTGTGAAGTCTGGAGTACCTCCTATGGTGGAGCCCGTGGTGATGCAAGTTTGCACATTCGCCAAAAGACGTCTACATGGCTACAGTCAGTGTGATGCCTGGCCGGCAAGTGATTGCATTGATTCTGCGAGCGGGCAGCGTATTAGGCATCGATTTAGCATGTTGCCCGTTGTTATTAGCTGGGTCGGCAACCCGTATTTTTCCAGCGCTGTATGTTTACAATCTGGGGGTGTGGGGGAAGCCCCCCCCCTCCCTGGGCTGGACCTTCCGGAATCCCTGGTTTATGGGGCTCCTGGACGCCTTTGCCGAGGGTCCCATGAGACCTCCGGGCTTCTGGGAGCATTTGCCAAGTCGTGTAAACGAGCCGGCGGTAGCCCCAAGAGGGTCCAACATGGCCTCCTGATGGCCCAAGGGACCTTCCAAAAGCCCCAAAGACCTCCAAGAGGAACCCCCAAGTGGGCCTCCAAATTCCAAACCTGTGCGTTTCCTAAATGTTTTTGCATTATTTTGGCATTGTCGCTTTTTCGTGCTACCGACGCGCCAGGAAGGCCCGAAAGGCCCCCAACATCGCCCGAGGACAACCCATGACGGCCCAAGAAGGCTCCAGGACGGGCGAAGGTGCCCCCACGATCCCTGAAGAAGGCCCCAAGACGGACGTTCAGACCGCCACCAGGCGCGAGCCTTCCAGCCCTAAAGGACCCACGAAATTGCCAACAGGCGCCCAAACGCCCCAACCAGGGTTCACGAGGTCCCCAATGAGACCGAAAATAAACCAAAGTGGGCTCCAAGTTATCTCCCAAACCCGCAACATTGTTTCCGCGACGACCCCGAGACGCCTCCCCACAGACCCAAAGACATCGAAGAGGCCTTTGACGTATGACCCCGCATTGGCGCCCTCGTCCAACATTTCCACCAAACATGTCCGAGTCCCAGTTTCGCGACGTTCCCTCCAGGCACGTGGGTAGGAGGAGGAGGAGGAGGAGGATGGGGATGATGGGATGATGGGATGATGGGATGATGCTGATGCTGATGCTGATGCTGATGCTGATGCTGATGCTGATGCTGATGCTGATGCTGATGCTGAGGAGGAGGAGGAGGAGGAGAAGGAGGAGGAGGAGGAGAAGGAGGAGATGGTGGGGCTTGCGCCGTGGATGAGGTGAGGCCTCGAGGAGGATGAGGAGGACAGGAGTATGAGGAGGAGGAGGAGGAGGGAGGAGGAGAAGGAGGAGTAGGAGGAGGGACTAGGAGGATCGGGCAATGCCAAGGGGGATCACCACTAGGGGCGGTCACCACTTCCTTCGTGGACCTCAGAACGAAGAAGGGGAAGAGGACACACTAGGGAAGAATAACGAATGGCATTGTTTTGATGACGAATCGGACAAGACAACGAGAATGTATCGCCGTTTTGTATGCTTTACCTTCCTGCCCTTCCGCCGCGACTCCCGCCTGCATGCCAAACTTCAAGGACCAAGGTGCGTGGCGCGAAGCGCCAAGGCAGTCTTGTGTATGTATGTATGCATGTATGTATGTATGTATGTATGTATGTATGTATATAGATAGATAGATAGATAGATAGACAGACATATAGATAGATAGATAGATAGACACACATACACACACTTCTCTCTCCCTCTCTTTCTCCCATGCCGGAAACCCCTCCAGGGGGGGGGGGGGGCGGCGTGCCGATTAGGAGCTACAGCTATACCTTAAGTGCCCCCCCCGACCCCTAAGGCCTCCCTGGGGTGTCCCCGGGGCCTCCGCAGAGCTTCCCCGTCCCTTCTGAAGCCTTCGGGTCGGTCCCCACTGGATCCCAGACGGGCCAACATGGCTTTCGAACGGCCCCAGATGGCGTCAAGACGGCCCAAGAGACCCCCAAGACGCCCCGAGACAGCTCCAGGAAAGAGGATCCTCAAGAGGGCCCGAAAAGGCAAACATCGTCCCACTCCTTGTGGAAAACGCACATTTCTAGCACATGTGTTTTTTTGTTTTGTTTATCTTGCCAGTGTTCAAGACGACCCTAGAGGCCCCCAGGAGATTTCCCAAACTGCCCAAGAAGTCCCCCGACTTTGAACGTGAGTTAAAGGGGGGATTGCACAGCGAACGCTATGTCTTACCGGCGATGCTCTGGCTCAAGGCAGCGCTGTCCCATTTGTGTACCTCGAGCCATCGAGGTATTAACGAACCTGAGTGTTGGATAAAGGCCTCACATTGTCTCATACCTCTTACCTTGCTTGCCATCAAGGGAGAAGCTATGGGATACTTCGATACGTATCCGACGTTAGCCTAAGAAGCAAGGTATCATCTCACTACCTCACGAAGCCCCTGATCTTCGTTTTTTTCACTTGGTAGCGGAGCTGGCCCCATCGTTATTCGGCTGGCTCCTACATCCGGTGTCATGTAAATAACTTCCCACGACACAGTGGAATACCCAATTGCGCCAGCTTTCAGCCACTACAATCCCAATGCGTTTCAACCAAGTGGTCATTCATCTCCCTATTCGTCCATCCCCCCACCGCGTGGCAAGGCGCCACGCACATACCAAGCTCCCACACCCATCCGCAATGTGACGGTCACGTCAGACCAACCACTCGGTCGCAACTCAAAAGGCACGACAAACACCAATGAGACAAACCCTGACATCATCAACCATAATATGACCTACGCACGATGTCAAAGTTACAGCTCTTGGAATCCTGTGGGCGTGCACAGGTCTGGCCGTAGGACACATGCAAGGAGGAGAAGGACTCGATGAAACACAGTCGGGGTCCTTTTTTGGGACACCGCAGGCAATATACCTTTTCCGCGACTTCGTTCGCGCAGCACCTGGACGTCACGAACGGAA